ACTGCATCAGTGATTCGAAGAACATATTCAATATCCCTCCCTAGAAGAGAGTCAATAAAATAAGCGAATTCAGTGCCAGATGAGAGGAGAGCACAAGGGCGGTAGTGACGACTCCATCTTCACACCATCGATTCTGCTGAAAGTTTATAATAAATGCCGTTGTAAAACTTTGGAATATCAAAAATGAAAAAAAAAAGTCATAAGTATTTAAGAAAAAGACTTTTTAACTAGACTTCTGGCATAACTTAGACAGAGAGTGTTCCCCAAAGCCTCGAGTGTTCAGAGGTGAGGATTTGGAAAGTCACTGCATCCCCGGGGCCTGGACTCTCTGTGCACGAATTCGTGAATTCACTGAACAGTGCAGACCTGAATGAGCTCTTACAGGCAGGACCTCCATAGCACAGGGCCTGCCTCGAGGCAAGTGACCCAGGGTGTGGCCCCAGCCCCTCCCTTCTCTCTGCTTCCGGCCTGCTCAGTTGGGAGCTGCTCTCCTGCACCTGCGCCTTCCCCCACTCTTCCTTCCTGGGACCCAGCAGGCAAGGGCTGAAACTACTCAAACCCCTGCTCCTTTAAGTTGTGAGTGTTGGGTGTTGTGTTTTTGGCGATTGGAAAGCAGCTAAGACAAAGTTAATTTTGATTCTGAGAAGGAATAACTAGGCCACACTTAACTTTCTCCTTGACAATGTAGAATGACACACTTGTGGAGAGAAAATGTAGCACATGTAGATGCATTCCAAGGAAACAGAATGCACCATCATGGAGAACGCAAATCTTGCGGTGAAGGCTTCAATGAGCATTGTTCACCACGACCCAATTGATAACTCTTTTGGTTCTACTCAAATCTAAAAATTAGCCACATTCTCTTGTCTCAAATATTTTGTCTTCTCCTGGGCCCTCATACTCTTCAATTCCAAGTCCCCATTTCATGTCTAAACGCTTATCTCATCTTTTCTCACAAAGAAGGGCTCTTGTTCCCTCGATTCCTTGGCGTAGAAATGCTTCTGCAGTGGTAAGCTTCTGTGGAGGGTGAGAGCACCGCTCCTCTCCTGAGAAAGTCCATGTAGCCGTATTACTCACTACTTTTTTTAATTTATTTATTTATTTATTTTCATTTGTGTATTTGGTACAGGGTCTCACTACGCAGGTGATCTTCCTGTTTTCAGCCTCCCCAGAGCTGGGATTACAGGCGTGCGCCACCACACCTGGACTCTGTCGCCAGCTCAGTGTACCCAGGGGGCAGGGCCAGTGTGCCATTGAGCCCTGATCCCTGCTCTTGCCAAAGCTGACCCCTGTTCTCGTCTGCTGAGCTATCTCTCCGCCATTCACCACTCTTCATTATTGCCTAGTTTTAGCTCCAAGGATACCCGGCTCGTACTGCAGCGTCATGGTCTCACCTGCCCTTTCAATGCCTTGGATAAAACCCTGGTGACTTGTTTACATGCTTCCTCAACTCTGAAGAATTTTGCTTCTCTTATACTTCAGAAGTCTCAAATAAAACCATCTGCCAAAGGGCACATCATGTGACCTCAGACATCGCGGGCTCAGATCTCACCACTTAAGCACAGTTCAAACCCTTCTACATTTTTCCTACTTCCACTGCATTGACCTCCACAGTTTTTTAGCTCTCTGAAGATTTTCCACATTTACATATCTTTCTGCACTTACTACCTCCTACTAGACCTTGTGCTTGACCACAGTTTGCTCCCCAATATCCTCATTGTAAAATTCTTCTTCCACCTTCCACTTTCCACTTGTGGTGCAACCACAATCCTCCACAAGTCCCTCAAATGTTATTGAGTCTCCCTATGCTATATTTCTGGACATTGTTATGGGGCTAGTGGTTTCCACAATTCCTTAATAATAATTAGTTTATATATCCTTTAAGTTAGGGTCCAAGACTGCCTAACAGTCTTTTTAATTTTTCTTTTGTCAATTCTTTTTATTTCCTTTTTTCTGGTGACTTTTTGCACCTGGTGTGACTCAGTTAGGTATCTCCAACAGATTCCCAACTCTCTTATCTTCAGCAAACTTCTAAACAAACATCAAAGTTTAGGACACCCAGAATAATCTAACACTTTCCTTTTCTCAGTTTATCATGTACTCCATAAAGGTGATCATATCTTCTCTTCTTCTATTATCATGGTTCTTCTCCTTCTCCCTCTCCCTCTCCCTCCCCCTCTCCCTCTCTTTTAGACAAGTCCTTGCTATGTTTAGGCCGTGCTGAGTAACTCAGTATGGAGCCCAAGCTGGCCTCAAACTTGCAGTAACCCTCATGCCTCAGACTCCACAGTGCTGGGATTACAGGCATGCACACCACACCCAACTTCTCAAGATTATTTATATGGTACCAAATGAGTCCCAAACTGAGACTCCAGCCTTGAACCACCTTGAGTTTTATAGTCCTATTCAGCCACATACTCGAGCTTTTGTTAAAATGCTCCACAAAAAACTCAAATCCACCAACAGTAATTAAATTTATACTGTACTTTCTTTAAATTTAGTCCCATGGTCCCATCTTGCCTTAATAAATGAGCAGTATGCCATTACTCAAATCAGAAAACTGATATAATAATTCCCTCCCCTCCTTCACCTTCTCTTAGAATCATTAAGTGCTTAATTAATTCTGGAGTCAGAATTCTAAGAAAATTTATACAATAAGATTTTTTTTTTCTGTTGTTTGTTTGGCTTGGTTGGGGTCTTTTGTTTGTTTGTGTTGCTTTGTTTTTGAAGCAGGATCTCACTGTGTAGCCCGGTCTGGCCTTGATGTTTTATCTCTGCTTTCCAAGTGCTGGGACTACAAGTGTGTGCCACCACTCCTGGCTAACATTTAATTTTTAACCATAATGCCTATACCATGGTATTATGGCCTATACTATTTAATTCTGTCTCAGTTACTCTTCTCTCGTTGCTGGGACAAAATGTCTGACACCTAAAATGTTTATTTAGCTCACAGTTACGTTATTGGAGGTTTGAGTGCATGCTTGGCTGGCTCCAAGGCAGAGTGTGACACAAGGCAGAGACACATCCATTCATGGCAGCAGCACAGAGTGGGGAGCCAAGGGAGGAGTATCAGCAACAATGGCAACAGAAAGGAAGTCTGTCTCTCTGCCTCTCTTATGGTACATTCAGGCTATACGCCTTCCAGGCTGGGTGTAGAACTCACATCCATAATCCCAGCAGTACTAAAACCCATAGTCGCAGCTTTGGATCACCCATAATCCCAGTGGATTATGAATTAATCACAGACTCTAGAAGTCTGCCCCATGACTGCATGAGGCTTTGTGGGGACACCTAGAGACAAACCATGGCATCTCCCCTTAAGATAAGACAGGAACCTGCTTATATTCAATAAAATAGGGCAAAATTGTTAGAACGTCTGTGCTATGACTGTATTATATGACTCTATGTTAGCAGATTGGAATAAGAGAAAATCCCTTGCTGGTTTTAAATAAATATGCTTTCCTGCAGTAAGGGAGCCATGTGGCAGTGAATTCCAGCCTGTTGAGAACAGACCCTGGATGAAGCCAAAAAGGGAAAAGCAGGGACCTCCTTCATAGAGCCAAGGGGGCAGAGGCAGCTCTCAACTTGGGAGGTTGGTGCCCCAGTGTCCACAGCGAATGACTCTTCCTAAAGTCTTCTGTATTACATAGAAATAATATTGGGTTTGTGGTACATAGAAAATAATCATAATCTTGGAGAATAAGAAACTTAACTTTATAGACAACTGCCCTTTATTTTTCTATACAGATGAACTATAAGCATTCACCTCGAATTACTCACAAAAGCAAAAATTTAGAATAATTTAGTTTGAATTTATACAGAACATTTTAATCTTTTCATGCAAATCTGAAAGCATTTCTAGTAAAATGAAGTACACTGATTTTCACATTTTAAAGTGTGATACATTATAATACATTCAAATTCAAGAATATTTTATGATAAATTTTAGCATCTCAGTAAAGTCAAAGATGAATACATGAAAACTCTGTCTTCCACTGTTTGAAACTTTCAGAATTTTTACATTAGACGCATCCAAAATTAACAGCAAAATGTTTTCATTTACCTGATGTTTCACTTTCTGCCCAGAGAGCTGCAGACCCAGACAAAGTTCTCTGTAGTTGTTCGCGGTTTCCTTGTTTAGACTGCAGATGGTCGATGAGAAATGGGATTGGCTGGTCAGGTGTCTCAGTAATTAACTTGGTCATTAATTCCTGGATGCAGAAGAGAACACACATTTACATCTCATAACAAACCCTAGCTTAGAATTAATACTGTCAGCCACTGCTGCATACAGTGACTCATTTAATGCTCACGAGAATAACTTCAGGCAAATATGAGTTATTGTGTTTATTTTTAGGGTACTGAATTACAGAGTAGTAAACTATGTTACATGGCTAAAAAGGGCAAAACCCTGAAGATATAGTTGTGTTTAATTATTCTGCCTAACCTATGACATACTAGAATTTATTAAATTTGTTTTCAAATGTATGGACTCAGAATTTTAAATTTCTGGTCACCATTTTGGGAGATGACATTTTGAACTAAGCTGTAGCTGAAATCCATCATACATTTTATATAGCAATGCCACTTTTCTTTCTTAATTGTATCTGTATATATAAACATCCCAAAGTGAAGAAAAAA